GCCGCCAACAACACCGCCGCCAACAACACCGCCGCCAACAACACCGCCGCCAACAACACCGCCGCCAACAACACCGCCGCCAACAACACCGCCGCCAACAACACCGCCGCCAACAACACCGCCGCCAACACCACCGCCGCCAACACCACCGCCGCCAACACCACCGCCGCCAACACCACCGCCGCCAACACCACTGCCGCCAACACCACCGCCGCCAGCACCACCGCCGCCAACACCACCGCCGCCAACACCACCGCCGCCAACGCCACCGCCGCCAACACCACCGCCGCCAACACCGCCAACACCACCACCACCACCAACACCACCACCGCCGCCAACAAAACCGCCGCCAACAACACCGCCGCCAACAACACCGCCGCCAACACCACCGCCGCCAACACCACCGCCGCCAACACCACCGCCCTCAACACCACCGCCGCCAACACCACCGCCGCCAACACCACCACCGCCAACACCACCGCCGCCAACACCACCACCAACACCACCAACACCACCAACACCATCACCACCACCACCACCAACAACAACAAAACAACACCAACACCAACAACAACACCAACAGTTGTTCTTGTTGTTCTTGGTGTTCTTGTTCTTGTTGTTGTTGGTGTTGTTGGTGTTGTGGTGTTGTTGGTGTTGTTGGTGTTGTTGGTGTTGTTGGTGTTGTTGGTGTTGTTGGTGTTGTCGGTGTTGTTGGTGTTGTTGGTGTTGTTGGTGTTGTTGGTGTTGTTGGTGTTGGTGGTGTTGGTGGTGTTGATGGTGTTGATGGTGTTGTTGGTGTTGTTGGTGTTGTCGGTGTTGTCGGTGTTGTCGGTGTTGTCGGTGTTGTCGGTGTTGTCGGTGTTGTCGGTGTTGTCGGTGTTGTTGGTGTTGTTGGTGTTGTTGGTGTTGTTGGTGTTTGTCGGTGTTGGTGGTGTTGGTGTTGTTGGTGTTGTCGGTGTTGTTGGTGTTGTTGGTGTTGTCGGTGTTGTTGGTGTTGGTGTGGTGTTGTTGTTGGTGTTGTTGGTGTTGTTGGTGTTGTTGGTGTTGGTGTTGGTGTTCGTGTTCGTGTTGGTGTTGGCTGTTGTTGCTGTTGCTGCTGTTGTTGCTGTTGTTGCTGTTGTTGCTGTTGTTGCTGTTGTTGCTGTTGTTGCTGTTGTTGCTGTTGTTGCTGTTGTTGCTGTTGTTTTGTTGTTGCTGTTGTTGGTGTTGTTGCTGCTGTTGTTGTTGGTGGTGGTGGTGTTGGGGTTGGTGGTGGTGGTGGTCGTGGGTGTGGTGGGGTTGGGGTTGGTGGTGGTGGTGGTGGGGTTGGGGTTGGGGTTGGGGTTGCACGGATGGCTTTAAATTTTACCTGGTCACAATCAAGTAAACGATTCGATTGCGCATCTCAAGGCTTTTTTAAGCTCCGCGCTGGAAAGCGGCGATGCCAGATTCTAAACGGGTCGTCTGTTCATCACACAGATCCTCTAGCGTTGGTGTAAGCACGTGGTTCAATCACAGGAGAAGACTTTCAAAAATGAGGCCAGCAGTTGGGTTATTGTCTCCTGGCGTTCCGCCGACTTGTGTTTTCAGCCTTGTGCTTTGCCTGCGCTAGTGTTTGTGCTTTCTGTTGAGCTGTGTTGCTGCGCAAGCCCGGTTTGCTAGTTGAGGCCTGTGTTGTAGCACACGTGGCGCCAGGCCATGGGAAAGAGCGCGCAGGCCCACGCAGCACAGCCTGCTGGCAAGATAGGCAAGGCGCAGCGCAGCGCCGATTCTTTTGCACCCTCACTCCACTGGCTCTGCCCAAGTTCGCACGCAACTTTTTCTGGCGCAACCCATGCTGGCATGGGTTGTGGATTGGTTCAAGCGAGTCAAGCCAGAGGAGGTCGTTCACGCGCATAGCTCCTGCAACTGCTTGCGATGTCCAAGCCAAGTTCAATGAGGCGGCGCAGCAAAAGGTGGAAACCGCGCGCAGTCGCAGCATGCTCAGCCTTTGCCTTGCAGCAAGGAACGTCCCTCAGCAAGGAACGTCCCTCAGCCCACTCGCAGTTGAAGTGTTCGGGGGGCCCTCCCCGCATTGACGGTGTTGTGTTGCGTGCTTGTGTGTGTTGCTAGGTTTGCTTGAATCGCGCTTGAAAGCGTTTTTTGGCGCGCAGGGGGTGTCTATTTGCCGTCAGTGTCTTCCAATTATTTGTTTCAATGGGAATTCTGAGGTGCTAAGCATGCCTGACAAATCCTGGTGCGCTTCAAGGGTGAGTGTTTCCAAAACAAGCACCTTCGCCAGGCATTCTTGCCAGTGAAGCAAGCAAAGGCTTGCAGCTGCAATGGGCGGACGCCAGTATCTTGTTTGGCGGACTTACTGTGAGGGCGGCCAAGGGCCTTAGGGCAATTGCAGTTTGCGCGTTCCTTTTTACTATGAGCCAGGCTCTGTGTGTCTGCGGGCGCGCTCCAGAAGTTGCAGGACATATAGCCTGCTAAGAAACCCTCCATGGTTTCCGCAACGGTGGAGCAGCCGAATGGAGGGGCTCAGACCCCCGATCCAACTCTGGGCTTTGGCCCCTTCAATACCCGAAGGACACACCAATTAATAGGCGGTTAAATTGCGGGGTCTGATATGTTTCAGATTCCCCTTTGCATATTCCTTTACAAAGGCGCAGAGACTTTTCTTTGCGCCGTCATAACCCGTCAACGCATGGATCAACTAGTTGAAGTTTTCAAGGCAGAGAGAAGCAGCTTCATGCTGGCTCATTTCGGTGAGTTGCACAAGTTGCTCTGAATGAGGAAAAGGCAGTTCTGAAGAACCAGGTTGTTGAACTGGGTTTGTTTTGCACCGTTGCCTCCAAGATGAAGGGTGCGGAAATAGTTCGGGTCATCATCGTGGCAGCTTCCAATTTTGTGTGACTAAGCGACCGTGCCCTGGGGCACGCCCCTTTTTCAGCAGCTGAATGTGGTGATAAGGAGTGCTCAGATCCTGCAGTGGCTCTTGTGCTTGGGTTTTTCGTTGTTGGCTCCTGTACTTCGCTGTTGTTGCCAAGTTCACGCACATCGCGCTGGATCTTCAACCCGGCTCCTTGCGCAGTAGGTGGAACGCGCGGTTTGGCAAGCACAGTGTCCATGGCAGAAGCCTCACCTCTACAAAGTTCCAGCGACCAGTGTTGTATATGTGTATCTTCTCTTACAATCAGTGACAGGCAAGACCCAGTCATGTTCCCTCAACCAGTCCCACGTCTTCCCGTTCTGACAGTCGAATGCGAAGGTTTCATCAGGGACGCTAAGGCAAACTGTGTGTGTGTGGAGACAACAAGGCAAATCTGGAAGACTCTGGCATTACCCAAGTGGAGGGTGGCGGGCGGCTTTGCACACACCATTCCACGGATAGTTTCACTTCCAACACGAATATGTTTCCAACTAAGGTTAATTCTTTGCGGGGTGTGATTCACAGCCTGGCCTTGTCTGGAAGAGCCCCGGACCCGGACAATCTCTAAAGGTAGACGGAAGTGCGCAGGTCCCGGCACGGTGCTGCGCGGGCTTTTTAAAAACGCCTGGCGAAGATTCTGCAAGAGCCATGGCGCGCCAAAGCTTGAACTGGCACGCGCGAGACGGTTTGGTGTCAGGACACTGCGAAAAAGTGTCGAGCCAGCGGTGAGGATACAACACTCGCTTGGCCGTCTGGCGTCGCACAAAGACAACGTTGCGCGACGGCGCGCGCAACAACGGCAAGATAGGTTCTGTAGATCGCAAAGTCAGGTTCTGAGATGCCTGAGCGTGTCAGGGTCCCTGTCACCCTTGGAAAGGTGTTCAGCCAAAAACGGGGTCAATTTCTGCTATGTCTGTCTTGGCGGGATTTCTTTCAAGCGATTTGGGGTGACATCTGCTTGCGCAATTGTTTTTGCCGCTACGTGGGCGACCCGCTTCGACGTCACTTCGATTCTACGAAGACCCGGCCGAACACGAACAAGAGAAAAGATTTGGATTCAGCATGCTACTGTCACAGCGAAGGATTCAGCACATTTTGCCAAAGCACCTGTGGCAGGTTAGGCGCCCGCAGCGACACAACTCTTCAAGTGGCTTCCGGGTTCAAGTTGACCACTAGCTCTCCGTCGTTTTGCTTGCTGAGCAGTTACACGCGGTTGCTGATTTGATGTCGTTCTCTTGTTCTGCTTGTTTGGGTGTTTTTGTGTTGCAGTTTGTTTTGTTTTGGTGTTTCGTGTGCCTTAGTTGCCCCCCCCACAGGAACGGAGTATGGCGCCAACTAACATTTGTCAAGGACTCCTTCCCAGCCATTTGTTTGGGGAGGGTCGCTTGGCGCCATTTACAACTGCCTTGCTAATAATACACAGCGGCCTTTTTTCAATCTTGGCTTCCGCCCAGCCATTGTTGAAGACTCTGCAATATAGCGACAGTCACATATTTTTTGCCAACTAAGTGTGATTTACTGCGTGAATCTGCTCAGGATGATTGAGCACCTTGTGTGTTGTTGCCGGCCTGTGTTCTTGCTTGAGAATGCCAAGTTTTTTTGCAGAACTGCGCGCAGTGGTTTACCTGTGTGTGTGTGAACCACCTGAATCAAGGTTCGGCCGTTGCAAAATTGTTTTTCAGCCTGGCTGCCCATCCCACCAGCTTTCATGGTGGGCTCTGCGCCTGCGCGGGCGGGCAAACACATGTGTGTCTGTGTTTGTGTCTGCGTCTGTGTCTGTCTGTGTCTGCCTCTTTCTGTGTCTGTGTGTGTCGGTCTGTGTCTGTGTGTTTGCGTGTCTGTTTGTCTGCGCAAGTGTTTCTGTGTGTGTGTCTGTGTGCGTGTGTTTGTGTCTCTGTGCGCAGGTCTCTGTGCTTGTGTGTGCGGTTGCGCGTGCGGCTGCCTGGATGTGTCATTGTGTGGTTGGGTCTGAATCTGGGTGAGAGGCAGAGAAGAGAGAGTGGTTTTGTGCGCTTTGTGCGCGTGATTCTTTACCCTTTGGTGCGTCTCCCTGACACCCAGACCCAGGTGGGGTTCTTGATGACTCGAGCCTTGCATCAAGAGCAAGGCTGGGAGATGAAACATGAACGAGTTTTAAGAGGTTGGAGATGCAAAAATTGGACATGCAAGATCCAGGCAACTGCATGGATTGCAAGGAACTCTCTCTCTCTCTCTCTTTCTTTCTTTCTTTCTTTCTTTCTTTCTTTCTTTCTTTCTTTCTTTCTTTCTTTCTGTCTCTCTCTCTCCCTCTCTCTTGTCAAACTACATGCTTCACTTCCTGCATATGTGTTGCATGTATGTTCACTACCGCAGGCCTTGAGCTTACTACTCCGCATGAGTGAACAGGTTGGCAGCTGCAGACTACATTGGTTGACTGTTTGTTTGAACACTGCAGCACTTGCACTTGTAAGCAAAAGTACCAATTTAACGTGGTAGCGGAGCTGAGATCCTAAGCATAGGGGAGCTCCAGTAAGCAGTAAGTACTACAACCACAGCAACAGCAGTCACATGCCAAACTACTACGGCCTCAGCGCGACAAACTACAGGAGCAGAGAACGGGCCAACAGCAGACACAGTAGGAGCCACAACTACGGGAGCAAGAACAGAACAAGACAACGACGTTCAGAGACTACATAGATACAAGCTGCCTCCACCCTTCTTCATTGGTGACTACTCCCAATATGAAGAATGGCTGTTCAAGCTACAAGCATACCTCGGCCTCAAAAGGAAAAGGAAACAACAACTACACAACATGCCATCGATGTGGCAAGCCTGGCCAACGGGCACAAGACTGCAGAGTGCCAGTATGGCACATAGGAGAAGGAGAAGAACTACATCCACTAGAACAAGAACAAGCAGATCATGACAACAATGAAGAACTACCTCAGGATGTGAACGACACTTGGGACTGGTACTACGAAGGAGAAGAAGGACAACACGAGGTGAACTACATGGAGGAGAACTGGAACGACTACGACTATGACAACAGCTGGGATTGGAATGACCACAGCTATGAGGACACAGCAAACTACATTGGAGGCATCAACGAGTCACACCTTACCACTGGACACATCAGACAAGCAAACCCACGACTACACAAGCACAAACCCAAATCACTACTCGGCAAGAGAACAACACACACACAACATCATGGAACGACCACAGCAAGAGCTTTCAGCAATTCCTACAAGAAGACACCACACAGCTACACTTCGACATAGCAGCAGCAAGACAACAACAAAGGAACAAGAAGATTGAGGACACTATCACACACCACATCATGTGCTCCAACTTCAAGTCATACCACCACCTGTTGATCGACTCAGGAGCATCTACACATGTTTGCCCGAAGGACTACGCACCAGACCTACCGCTACGACCTTGTGGAGAATCAGTTCCACAACTCTACACGGTTACAAACAAGAAGATTCCTGTCTACGGCAGCAAGTACGTTCCCTACAAGCAGGACAACTTCAGGATCATGATACCCTACTACGTTTGTGACGTGAAGTATCCAATCCTCAGTGCATCAAGACTACTTGATAGAGGATATGGGCTTGACTTCACTCCACGACACTGCACCATCACACATGGACAACAACAAGCACACCTCATAAGACACTCAGGACTTTTCTACCTACGAGCAGAGAAGATCGACACCCCTACAGGATTCGACATCTACCCAATGACTACAGACAATGGAAAATCCATTGCTGCGATTCAACCTACAGAGAAAGCAGCACAACAACGAGAACAAATTGCACCACTCACCCACACAGACCAAGGACTACGACAGATCCTTGGTGGAAACACTGACTACTGGAAACTTGATGGTGACTACGCCATCAGAGTACACAAACGACCACGCAAAGCATTGTTCACACCACACAACAGCGGTTGCCCAATACCTGAAGGAGAACTAGATGATTGGCGACTAACCATCATCAACAGACAAGGGCAAGAGCAAGAACAACTACAAGAGAACCCAACACAACTTTCCAAGCAAGAACTACAACGAAGACTAGAAGGTGACATCTGGACTGGAGAAACCAGATTCAGAAGAAAGATAACACCTACACGCAGAGCAACATCAAAGACCGCACCAACAAGGCAGAGCTCACAACCACAACGGCTAATGGACACACCACCAACCAGATCAAAGATCCAACTACGAGCACCACAAAAGATATGGAGACCTAAAGCAGCACCTTCTACAAATCTTGACACCACACAACCAAAGGAGACAATCCACAGACCACTCACAGCACAGGAGGACAACCAAGACTACTGGGAAAGACAAGGTGAACACTGGATAAGACACCACACAACACTTAGAACAACTCTATTCACTCCAACAGATGGACCAGGACATCCACCAATCAGCACACTTGAGCCTCACAGAACTACAATCACTCACAACAACTTTGGAGAAGTTTCACAACGCAAAGATGACTGGACAGTCATGGGCAACGCAGCACTACCATTTCAATGGAAAGGAACAACAAGGTTCACCATGAAGAAAGGCTACGAGTACATCCAGGAGAACCACGATGAGGAACAACAGCACGAGCATCATGAAGCGCACAGAGCAAGAGGACTACGACAACCACAGCAGCCCACTCCACAACAAATAGCAGAACACAATCTTACACACCTACCATACAGAAACTGGTGTCCAATTTGCGTTCAAGGCAAAGGACGCCAAGACAACTACAAGAAACAACAATCACGACAACCCGTCATTCAAGTAGACTTCGCCTACATCAAATCACAACAAGACCGAAAGACCATACCAGTACTGGCAGCAGTTGATGTTACTACACAACTGTGTGTGGCAGTAATGGTCCCGGACAAACCATCAATGATGGACTGCGTGGTCAACAACCTACAAGCATTCATCTTTGAGTGCGGAAGAACACAAGGCATACTACAAAGCGACAACGAAGACACACTCAACGCACTTCTAAAAGCTACAGCAGCAAAAGTCGGCTCAATGACTGTACGACACTCACCGTCTTACAGCAGCAACAGTCAAGGAAGCGTTGAGCGACGACATAGAACACTCCTCGGACAAATCCGCGTTGTCAAAGCTCAGGTTGAAAGCAACTACAGCATGACGATGTCCACAAAGCACTGTCTACTACCTTGGATAGTACGACATGCAGCATGGACGGTAAATCGCTACGTCATCCACTCAGACGGCTATACACAAGCTTTGAACGCCGCTGGGGAAGAAACTACGAGCGAGCAATCTGCAAATTTGGCGAGACACTACTTTACCTTCCACCACAACACAAGAAACTTCCAAAAGCAGACCTACGGATGCAGAAATGCATCTGGCTCGGAAAAGTTTCCGAAACCGGAGAAAACTACGTCGCAACGGAACCAGGCGTACAAAAGGTACGAACAGTACGGAGACTACAACCGGACTTCAAATACGACCTCGCACTGTTGAACAAAGTTTCCGGCGCACCATGGGCACCACGACGGAACACCTACAACCCATCGTTCGCAACACTGTTGGGCACGCAACTACAACCGTCAGAGAAAAGAAGGTCCACGCAAGATTTCGGACAACAAACGAACGCTACGTATGACATCGTTGCAGAACCCGCAACAAAACAACAACGCACTACACCACCTCCACGACTTCCGTCTACATCGACGTCAAGTTCACGACCACTACCGGATAGTCCTATGGCTACTTCACCAACCGGACGACAACATCCACCACTACCAGCACCACCTCGACAAACACTACGACGTTTAACTCCGGAAGAAGTAATGCAACCAACTAAAGCACAGAAGGCCTCAAAGGACACTACAATCAGATCAACGGAGCAAGCAACCAAAGAACCACCACCACTACGACAGAAAATCAACGCAGTGACACTTCCCAACGGAAAATCCATCACTCCCTACACAAACGACGACACCTCAGAAGACCAACCCATAATCTTCGACAACGAAGGTTACGACGAAACACAACTGGAAGGAATCAAACACGAGTCAAACGAAATGAAGCTACATGACGTCTACGACGAAGTAGATGCGTCTACCGTCGACAACAACGTCATCAGAGAAGCGACGCCTACAAGATGGGTGCATAGAAAGAACGGACCAGGAGTACGAAGCCGAATCGTCGCAGAAGGCTACAGAGAGAAGATCGAGGACGAAGACTCCGTCTACGCCTCTACACCAATGTTCACGACACTCCGGACACTTCTCGCACTACAAATGTCACGACCAAACTGGATCGCGCAGCATTTCTACACGCACCCATCGCAAAAGACCACGACGGAAAACAACGTGACGTCTACCTTTGGCCACCTAAAGAACTGTGTCCACAACAGGACAAAATCTGGCGACTAAAGAAAGCCATGTATGGACTACGCAGTTCACCAAAAGCATGGCAGGACTACCTGGCTGAAGTGTTACAAAAGCTCAGCTTTGTAAGACTAAAGTCAGAACCTAACGTCTACACCAATGCGACCCGCGACTGCTACATCATGGTCTACGTGGACGATCTACTAGTACTTGGAGACAAGACTGCGGTCGACTCCACTTTCGAGGCCGTCCAGAAGCAGGTCCTACTCAAGCACATCGGCTACCTTGAACCTGGCAAACCACAACAATTTCTTGGAAGAAACATCGACCACTTTGGCAACTACTGCAATCTTGGACTAAAGGACTCCTACATCTACAACATGATCGAGGAGTCTGGAACGAACAGCTGCAACTCAGTGAACACTCCAGGAATTGCACACTACAAAACAACAATAGAAGATGAAGCACTACTTGACCACGAACAACACAAAAGTACAGAAGGATTGTTGGCAAACTTCAATGGCTAGCATACACACGACCAGACATTGCATACTCCACAAAAGAACTAGCACGAGACCTCACAGCACCTACAGAACTTTCACAAAAAGAGAGTCAAACATTTACTACGCTACTTGCACGGCGCCAAGCACTACAAATTCACCATAGAACCAACAACAACACTCAGGGCAAACACCAACAACATCCTGGATCTCGACGTTCATGTCGATGCCGACTGGGCAG